TATATATATATATATATATATATATATATATATATATACACATACACATTTGCATTGCAAAAACCTGTTTTGTATACATACTTGTTATTGATATTTCATTACATCTATGACTGAATTCTACTAATAAACATGACTGATATTGCAACTCGCGTATCGCTTCCGTCCTAGCAATTGCGTCAAACATATATAAACTACAGCGCGCAGTATTTGTGGGCAATCTATCGAGTCAAATTATGATTTATTATGTTTCAAATATGTATAAATGTATGTTTATAATGTTGTAGGTAAAATGCTATTTAATCCGTTGAAAGTAATAATGCTGCTGTACGCAGTATTTTGAACTTTAAATTTGCCTTAAACTTATCGATGAAAGGGATGCAAAAATAAAAATAGAAACCATGTTAGAAACAATGTATGAAGATACATTTGAAATAGAAAAAGAAGAATCACTCGATTTCCAAAATTCATCCGATATAACGGAAGCAGAAATTGTAAAAAATGAAGAAGAAGAGGAAGATACATATTACGTTAAAAAAATAGGTAGAATATAAAAAAAAATAGATTTTTGAATCAATGGGGATAAAAAAGACCTCTAGAGAGCGTTAAACATAAATTCCGTAAAGTGCTACGCATACAGCAACTGCAACTACAAGTGCAGAGAAGTGGGGCATTTATGGAAAAAATGCTGAAAATTTCTTCGTATACATTACAGAAATTCCAAAACGGTCTGAAAAGAAGATCATTAAATCATGATATCGATATTGCTCGATGGGCACTTACAGCGTAATTTAGAAAATAAATTTTCTAAACAAGATTTACAGCTTCAGAGGAATGGGTAAGACGTTTTTAAAGAAGATTTATTATATTGTATCGCGGAAAGTTACTAAATTTGTTATCAAAACAGTTTTTGATAACGTACAAAATAAATCTTGCGTACACAATACGTAAATGAACATTTGTTTACGTATTGTATACGCAAGATTTTTTACAATGTAGAAAAAGAAATGAATGTCGACGACCCAATCAATCGATAATATTCGTAAACTTACCTGCAACAATTTCTTCATGAACTCCTCCTCTTTCTTCGATATTCTGATCACTTTCATCATGCTCCTGTATCGCCTCTTTTTCCTTTTCTTTCCCTGTTCCTCTATTGCCTTTTTCTTATTTGCCGCTCCAATCTTTTACCGACTACCTCACGACTCGAAAGATTGCCCGCAAATACTGCGCGCTGTAGTTTGTTTATATATTAGGTGGTAAACTTAGTTCCTGCGGTTTTTTGTTTAAAAAATTCATTTATTTCGACATCAAAAGCAAAAAATACATTAATCGAAGTATTTTCCCTCGCTAGCTATACATTTTTCCCATCTTTCGGGCAACGCGTAGATTCCGCGACGATAGAACGATTGGTCTTTTGATGCAATCCATTTGTCGATCCATTTTCGCACATCCTCGTAATTTCTGAAGTGTGTATCCACCAAGCCGTGCTTATGCCGCTTTAGCCGCAACTTATGAACCGTTGAGGTAATGCTCGAGTCGTGCCTAT